GTTTGTGGTTCTGATGGTGAATTCTATGAAAACCACTGCGAAGAACACCGAGCTGCCTGCCTGAAAAAGCAGAAGATTACTATTGTCCACAATGAAGACTGCTTCTTCAAAGGCAAGTAGTGGGGGATAATAGCTTAAAGACATGACTTTATTTATTAATCGAATTTATTTGCCAGCCAGCTCATTTCAAAATCAGTTACCTATTTTGAAGTTATTTTGATTAAGGTTCTGGGAAATCTAGTGTGTATTGTGAAGAAATAATAAGGAAGTTTAAGTTAACAAAGCATTTTTACTGGGAGAAGTCTTCTAGCTATCTTCAGTCCTCAACTATCTCTTTGGAAAAATGATTGCAGATAAATTGTATGTTTGATAGGATTGTTGGAACAGGATCTTGTGACCTCAATTTGGAGAGGTAGCCATTGTGATCAAGGTTGAATTATAAGAAATGCACCTTCAACTCTCAGTGGAACAGTTTACATTTAGAAATTTCTTAGAAACTCGAATGTTATGGCTATAGTGAATAAATGTCATAGGTGATTCTGTTGTTCCTTTTTAATTATTTTTAAATGTCCTTATTTTACTTTCATCTGCTCTTTTGTTTTTTGTCTATGTTCTTGCCACTTATTTTTTTTTCTTAATATAATTTAATTATTCTTATTGCAATAATTGGTTGTATTATATTCTCTTCATGTGATATTGAAGGCTCTATAAAGCTATAAATTAAGAGTTAGGGCATTTTATGGGATACTTTTACAGGACATAAGAAAACTTCATTGTAACAAGAAGAATTCCATAGAAAAATTGGAGGCATTCTTGCACTCATTGTTCTGCTTCACACATATTTTGCCCTGATTAGCCCAGTGAAGGCAGTAATAAATTAACAAATAAAATGCTAAATTCTGATTGTTATCCACTCCTCCAGAGAACTAAATCTTGGCTCTCAAATTATCACAAATGCTACATAAGGACTAATTTATTAGCCTTGGGGCCTTAGTTCTAAAACCTTTCATCTGTTGATGTTGAAACCTCTAGTGAATGAAACTTAAATAAATTTTCAATATGTAATTAGATATTAAAAATATATTTATTTCTTAAACAAACAAAACTACAAATGGAATTGTAAAGAAGAGTTGTTTTATTTTGGCTATTTAATGGGAAGCATTTTTTATTCACCAGAAACCAATATCTGGGATTATTACTGAGTTGTTATTGTTANCTTAAAGTTTCTCTCTGCTGTTGAAATTGTGTGCCATTATCTCCAGCTAACAAACACTGCTGTTCTAGCTTGGAAGGTTTTTACAAGATTAAGCATAGATTCACAATAAATTTATTTATTTTCACTTTTCTCTTGTTGAAGATATATTCAAAGGCACATCTGCATGCCCTTTCTCTTATCACTCTCTATAAACAAGCAATGAGACATTGGAGCGCCAAGCCAGGACAATCAGCAAGAAAAGTAAGAATGTTTCGTTTCCAATAGACAAACCTCCAGCCTCTGAGTAGCAGTGTTATTGTTGTAATTTTCTTTGTTTCTTTTTGTATTTTTTTTGTATTTCAAGTTAAAAAAGGTCCAATTCTTGAATGAGTTAGAAAAACACCCACAGTAATGAAAGAGGAGAATTTTAGTTACAAAGAGTAATAAAAGAAAAAAATAGAAGAAAACCTAATCCATCTATGAACATAGCATTTAAAAAGTAAGATAACCCACTGTCAAAAACCATTCCAAACTTAATTCCGCTGCTTATTTCTTCTGTTCTCCAATTTAAATTAATTTTGAGTTTTTTATAGGCAGTCTCTTTTAAAACGGTAAAAATTCCTCACCAGCTGGACATACTTTCTCTTTCTGTATCCTTCCATTTTGGAGCCTTCCTGACTTCATCAGCCTTGGCTGGATTTTTTTCCGCCGGCTTGAAGAACTTCTCTTGCATCGATCAGGGACTTTGCGATGTCCCTGAGATCAGCAACACGTATTCTTCCTGTTCACTGTCTCTGCAGGATGGTTTAGGTCCAATTGGACCACCCAGCCGCAAAAGTATTGGCTGCGGTCTCGGAGCATCGAGACCATACGTCCGTATTGTTGCGACGTTGGCTCCTCCTCTGACCCTCACTTTATTAAGCACCTAGGTGTACTTATCTCTGACGATCTATGCTCCAAATTTCACTGTAACAGCATGCTAAAAAAGCACTAAAAGTTGTAAACTTAATTCAACAAAGCTTCTTTTCTGGAAATATTGTATTGCTAACTAGAGCTTATAAAACTTACACTAGACCAATCTGTTCTGTTCAATTGCTTGGAATCCTACCATATATCTGACATTAGTACAATTGAGTGGGTTCAAAAGTATTTTACAAGAAAGGTTTTGCACTTTTCTTTACATAATAGAAATCCCTATGCTAGTAGGCTCGAAATTCTTGGTTTGCATAACTTGGAACTGCATTGTTTGCAGTTAGACTTAGATATTACATACAAAATTGTACTTAGTAATGTTTTACCTGTAAATGGTTTTTTCTATTTTAATTGCAATAATACATGCGCGAACAACAGCTTGTAAATCGTTCTAAACTTGACTGTAAAAATACAATTTTTGTAATAGAGTTGTCAAAGTCTGGAACGCCCTACCTGATCCAGTTGTCTCAACTACAAATTTTCACAGTTTTAGTCACAAATAGAAAAAACCATTTA